TCAAAGAGAAAAAAAAAACGGAAAGAATAGAAAAAACGAAATGTAAGAGAAATGAAAAACAGAGAAAAAATACACGTAGTACGGAATACGTTGGGTTAGAGCGTAGATTCAGAAATTAATTCATATCTCGTTTGCAAGCGCACAATGGCAGGGCTGGTTGCGTATCCTCGATATTAAAAGATCCACGAAACATTGTCTCCGTTAGATTAACATATTTACCCGCGATAATTAAATTTTCTCGCGAACAAAAGGGACGTTTTTCAGAATGCAAAAAATGTCAGCATTCGTACGCACAAGGAAACCAAGATGTTAATCGTATAACCTAGAACTAGTATTTCTATCCGGCTATATGAAATACTCGGGTACCCGAATACTTATGAAATACCTGGATATTTGAGTACTCGAGTATCTCATGAGATACTTGGATACCCGAGTATTGGGCTATCTGATAAGATACTTGGATACCCAAGTATTGGGCTATCTGATGAGATACTTGGATACTCGAGTATTGAACTATCTTATGAGATACCTGGACACCTGAGTATTGGGTTATTTCATGAGATACTTGAATACCCAGGTATTCGGGTATCTGACTGGTAATCCGAGCATTTCATAAGTCACAGCTCTAGTGTAGCCGGCCAACTGCTCGTCTAACTTGAAGCCTAATCGAATCGCGGCGTCCAGCTACTTTGTAGGCTAATTGATAATTAAGCGGCGCGCGTTTCCTTGGAAATGATTTGTCATCTTTTTAATCGCCGGGCCTCCCGGCGAGATCATGCCTGCGTGGGAGGTAACCGGTATTCTGTGTCAATGTCGTTTAAAATCGCTCCTCCGCCTTTCGTGGCGACTGAGACTGTTTGCTGGAACAATTCAGTGGACAATTCATGAATTGTCTCACTTCTATGTTGTCCGAGGTACCATTGTTCTCCGTGGAACGATTAAGCACTTGATTTCGTGCGATTGTTTGTTCAAACATAGAATTTTCTGCGAAATGGATCAGTCTGGAAGAAACGATTCATAAAGTGATTTGACACTGGAAATAGTAGACGAGTCGAAATTACTAATTTTGCACTTGCTTTTCTAGAATTCTTGAGACGATTTAGTTTTGTGATTATAGTTTTGTGAGGAGTTGTTAAATAAATTGGTTTCACGATGAGAAAGATGAAATATAACGTTAATTCGTACAAGAAGATGTAAAATAGTCGATTTGATCGTTTAGTAATTATAGTGTTGCAAGGAATAAATGGTAAATTGCATTCACTAACAGCTACACTTAGTAACCATAATTGACTATATTACTCGTATTGATTATTGATGCCAATACAAAATCACTAATTTTCGAAGAACTCAATATTCAAACAGACTAAACAATAGAAACTTCAATCTCCTTTCCCCTATCCCTTCCACCTGCCTTTCTCCCCAAGTAATGCAGTCAATACGCACTAACAAGAACGCACAAATTCGATCTACAATTTTCCAACGCCAGCATGCAACGCAAATTGCATTTCAATTAAAAACCCACAATCATTCCGTCGATAATCACACATCTTCAAAGAGTATATGTTCACACTGCCACTATCGCAATAAACACCCATAAAGGAGAACATAAATTCCAAAACAAGAAAACTCGAAAGAAATTCCACGAAGAAGATTGATATGCAATGGTATGAATGATACGAAACTTAGTTATACATTCAATCAACGTCTAGAGCTGCCCACCTTAATTTCCCGTCGTGTGTATGCATGATCGTATTCGATAATCGAACATTTCAATTATGATCCTTAATCATTAAATCCATCAGACGTTACCCAACGCTGGTCTAATCGGCGTTCGATTAGAACCGCTAATGATTGGTTGCGTAAGAGAAGTATGATCCAGGCCCGGACGATCCGCTAGATCGTTAACGGCAGATGCGGCCTTGATCGATCGATCGTTCTTCGTAATGCAGAAGGTGTTTGATATTTTCTATTTGTTCTCCAGAGCCGGGTGAAGATGATCGGAAGGCGGAATTAATCGGAATCGATCGAGCATAGCCGGGGGCAGAAGAACCGTGGTGGATCCAGCGGGAATTCAAGGACAATTTAGATCAATGAAGGATCGACGAGGAAGGTGGAGTTAATCGTGGATTCTTCGTAAGTGGCCAAGGATTAAGTGAGATGAAAAGACGAGAAAAATGGGGACGTAGCTTCGGAGATTTAAATGCTGAAATATACCGGGTGTCCGATATAATAGAGATTTTATGTGTGGTGGAATGAAAGCGTCTTCACTGCTCTGGCGAAATGAAACGATGAACGTGTAGGTTCTAAATTAAATAGGAGTATTAAAATAATTTATTTGTCTTGGCTGTACTGTCATGCAAATGATTTTGAGCGAGATGAAAGGAGAGGGTGACAATAAAGTGGAAAGTTGATTCCAACAATTATTTCGAGAGAACTTCGATGATGATCTGCGATGAAAGTTAAGCAAACCGAAAGAGACATTTTCTGTCGATAATTAGATTATTTGTTACTACTTCTGTTCAAACATCATTTATCAGTAAGAACATTAAAAAATGAGAATAAGAATAAGAAATAAAATAGAAATTCTATTCATGGAATTACTTGAATGAAATAAAGTAATAAAATTAAGAAAATTAATGAAATAGAAGTTTCATTTCTTGAAAGCATCAAAGCTACTATTCATTGGAATAATTAAATTAGATTCATCTAAATAGTTCTGTTCAAATAATTTCGACGAAGACAATCTACCACGTAAAATAACAAATAGAATACAAATTTTATTATAACAAATTCTAATGAAATGTCCTTTTTACAATGAGTTTCTTCTACTTTCCCTTTACAGATCCCAGAATTGAACATGCAAAAAATTCGGCTATAGGTATTGATTGAATTAACCCAGAAACTCGGGCGACTCAAAGAGGAACGTAAAGACGATTTCATTGATAAGAGACATCGGAGAAGAATTCGGGGAGACGTAACCAGGTTCAATGAAAGTGACCCCGCG